TACAGCCTCAGTGAGCTGCTCATACCAACCATTTGATTATCACTCACATTCTGCAGATGAAATTAATGTTTGTACTGCCCATAATCCCAACTATAGAGAAACACAAATAAATGGTTGACATGATTTTCTCACTTTTTACTCTGAAGGGACCCTTGAAATTATTTGAAGGTCTAAAATAACCCCTGCATAAAATGATTCTACGAGGGTTGAATGAAAAGTAATGCCTCCACCTTTGCAACTCAACAGATGGCAGTACTGGTATGCAGCAGGTACTGGCTTGTTCAGTAGACTCTCCCCTACAGTTCCATTTTTGTGGGAAGCCTTAGCATTGAATTGTGTTGTTGAAGTGCAATGTATGGAACCCTGCGCAGAGTCGGTCAATGCGACTTAAGCAACGTGCAGTCATTGAATTCTTGACAGCAGAAGGTGTCACCCCAAAGGAGATTCATCAGAGAATGCAAGCTGTTTATGGTGATTGTGTTGATGTGAGTACTGTGCGTCGTTGGGCGAGTAAGTTTAAAGATGTTGAGGTGGGAACATCTGACTTGCGTGACAAAGAGTTGGACGTCCTGTGACAGCAACCACCGAGTTTCACAAGCAAAAGGTTGACAGATTGATTCAGGACTATCAGTATATCACTCAGAGAGCATAATCGGCCTTTCACAAGATCATGTGGGTCACATTATTGCTTTGCTTGGCTATCGGAAGATCTGTGCACAATGGGTTACGGAAACAGAGTGTTGACTTCTTCTGTGACGGCTTCAGAAAACTTCATCGTTGGCTGAAATGTATCCAATTGTCTGGTGATTATGTGGAAAAGTGAATAGTGGTAGTTAAAGAGCACATTCTAAGGATTATTTCTGCATTTGATTTATTAAAATATTCCCATCTAAACTCAAGTAATGAAGGTGGAGGCATTACTTTTCATTCAACCCTCATATCTACAGCTCAACACTGGCATAGAACCAGTCACAAAACAACAGAAACTTAAACTAGATGAGATTTACAGAATAAAAATCCTGTTTAATCTGTGTTATACATGAATTTCAAGTGCTAAGGATTTGATTTTGTGCCCCCCTCCCAAAAAGTTGGTACAGATTCTCTTTGAAAAGTGAGAAAGCAGATAAATTTAAGATTTTGCTTATTTTTTAAAATAACTGTTTAAATAAAATATATTGCATATTCCTTCTTAATGAAAGATTGTTCAGAGAAACTGACAAAGTACAAAATCCAGCTCTGCAAACAGAGCTGACTATTTTTCTGAATATGCCTGTGAGTTTTCTATCTGTGTTCTTGAAAAAAATACATCCTCGGGAACCAAGGGTCCTGAGTGAGAGAAGTAGATGTTTGTAAAAGGCATGGATCTTAATATGCTGTACAGAGTTCGGAACGTTCTGTCTAAGTCAACATTAACTATGAGTAATTGTAGATTAAGTTTTTCAAAAGTAATGTTAATTTTATTGTTTCTTAAAAGCAATAGAAATTAGAATTCTACATTGCTTTTTTTAAAAAACAAACAAACCCTGAAGTTACAAACTTCTGGCTTGGAGAATACACTGTCCAAAACAAAGTAAGAGGCAATAGCACAAGTACAGTGCAAGCCAATTCATCTAATATTTTCTTTCTCTGCCACTTAGTGAGGCCATTCCACACAATTATAAAAAGTGAACAGTTGTAGTTACATCATAAAGTGTAAAAGAATAGGAAAACTCTGGAATAGATTTTCATTTGCCGCAAGTAGTTTGCTATTGTGAGAAGGGTGTACTCACTTCAAGATGTCAAAAACATAAAAACTAAAGAGTATTTAAGGTTAAGAATTTATCTCTTTTCCAAAAGTTGACTGTTGGACCATGGCCTGAGATGGACAAAAACATGGGAAAATTGCTCCCACTATCCCTAGAACATATGTGAAGGCTATTAGAAGCAAGGAAACTTAAAAAGTGCAAGTAGTATAAAGTCTTCTTAAAATGTGGAATAAAAATAATTTAGAATATACTTTGGATCCAAAATATGAAAGTGTGGTTTTGTTTATTTATCGAATCAAAACCGAATTGAAGGTGCAGTTATAATGTATTTAGAACCCCAAAAATAAGTTAGAACCTTGGCATTATGCTAAATATTCTTTGACGAGAAACTGGCTACTTGGGAGTACTATAAGAAGGTCCTCCATTGTGGATGCGGCAGGGCTCAGGTTGCATTGTAGTAGGTGGTCTGTGGCTTGCTCTTCTCCACACTCGCATGTTGTGGACACCACTTTGTAGCCCCATTTCTTAAGGTTGGCGCTGCATCTCTTGGTGCCACAATGTAGCCCGTTCAGCGCCTTCCAGATTGCCAATCTTCTGTGTGCCCAGTAGGGAGTCTCTCATCTGGTGTCAGCCACAGATTGAAGTTTCAGGTTTTAGCCTGGATGTCTACACCCAACATCACTGAAAAAATTATACTGCTTAGCCAGTATTGCACCACTTGACATCGGTTGGGAAGTGGCCTGTAAAGCAAGGACCGAGGCATTGATTTCTCCGGCCCATCTTGTTCGGATATCAGCCAGCAAGCCAATGCCTTATATCAAGAAATAGTGACCTAAGATCTCATGAAAGTGTGGTACTTTCATATCATCTTCAATCCCATTAGTGTATATGAAACAACTTCTAAATTATTTTTAACCTGTTAGAGAAACAGACCTTCAGCCTATTTTGTGTGATAGAAATGTTCTCTATGTGTATAAATAGGTATTTCCAAGAGCTATTTTTTTAGCATAGCTAACAGTGTCACACTTATAGAATGATCCAGGTTTAATTCAAATACAAATCTCACCAAGTGATGCATTATCTCTCAGCTCTGTCTACCTCGTATGGTTGTTAGGATGATAACATTAGAGACCTTTCCTGCTGCACCTGTGGAGAAGAGGAGGGGTAAATATAATACTGAGAACATTACCAAAAAGGCAGGTTATCTCAATATTAGTTCTGAAACACTTGGAAAGTATAAGGTTGTGCAAATTGAGGAGTTTAGTAGATTTTTTTTCCCTTGAGAAATCATGTACTTTCTAGTGGGTTTGGAGTAGGGGAAACAGATATTCAGAAAAAAATGTTGTTTTTCAAAATAGTCTTCGTCTGGCTATTATATATTTTTTATTTTAAGCTAGATCAGGCAAGTTTAATGGATTGGTGAATTTGGGGTGGGTGGTTCATAGGTTAAAAAGCCCGGTGACACAGCAGTGTTGCTGCATGACAAATGAGAAACAGACTCACTGTTGCCAATATCTATCTGCAATGGGGAAATGCAAGGGAGATGAGGATTAGTAGCGGGGACTACTCAAAATTTGTTCTTAGTGGTTCTTAGGGATGAGTGCTATTGATAATGTATGTGAAATTGGGCTTTAAACCACATTTGATCTCAAAGGTATCTTAGATGGCAAAGTTTCATAATCAGGTCCATGGCACTTTGGACGACTCCTTGGTGCTGATCCAAGCTACATGACTGGATTCACTTATTTAGGAGGCAAAATCTTTGACCTCCAAAGATTTGAAGAGGATCTTGTCTGGCCGGTAAACATTGAGAGCATCTTCTGTGGGAGCTTTCTTTTCCCTTCATGTTTATTTGCTGGACCTGTTTTAGCTGGACATTTCTGCAAAGCAGCATCACTGGTTGGGGGACTGCTTTTCTGTTGGTATCGGTCCTCAGGCAAACATGCCACTAAGCAGTCCATGATTTCCTTCTCCAGTACAATCCGCCTTAGACACTTAGGTCCTCAGGAGCCATTTACTTCAATGGCAGCCATCACCCACAGGCCCTTTTCATTGGCCACCCCCAGACTGTGGAATGACCTGCCAGAAGAGCTGGTACAGCTAAACCAGCTGTCAGAATTTAAAAGACAATTGAAGACCTATCTCTTCTAGCAGGCTTACCCAGTCCATTTTTAGGTATGGATTTTAAAGTCATGTCATGTGTTTACTGTATTTTAATAACGTCTGTGTATTTTAATATATGTATTTCATAGAAATATGTTTCAATATATAACAGTAACCGAGTTACAAATATCTGACTTTCAAACAACTCATAGTTAAGAACGGGGTGAGACAACAGGAAGTGAGAAAAATCTACCCCTAGAAAGGGAAATTCACTCATGGAAAAGGTGTCTCCATTGAAGCTTTATCACCAATCCTTGTTTCCACAAAAAGCCATTTTTTTCAAAATCCAATTCTCACAGGGACAGAAAGTGTGGTGAAATCAGGGGCACAGACATAAAAATAAACCCCACCACAGGGATGTTAAGCCTTCCCTATACTATCCAAAACTCTCTCTGTGTGTGTGTTTGTGTGTATTAGGTTGGGTATCAAGTGATGCCTAGATTATTTGAAAAAGGCAGTTTGTTTTTGTTTGTTAAGAATGGACTCATTAGATCCATGGCTGATACAGTGAACAGTAGTCTCTGGATGTGGGTGAAGGTACTGCAAATCCCATTGTCAATAGTCCATCCTCCCCCAGATTTCACCAAGACATAAAATGGGTTGTGGGGATCTGTGTTCCAAGTTTGGTCCATATCCATGGCTGATGGGGTTTGCAGCTGCCTCTGTATGTGGGCGAAGGTATTGCTAATCCCATCTGCCACTGTCCATCCTCCCTCAAATCTCTCCAGGAGGTAAAGTGGGACGTGAGGGGTCTGTGTCCCAAGTTTGGTTCAGGTCCATCATTCATGGGGGTTGCAGTGGTCTGTGGAAGTTGGAGCCAAAGCGGGTAAATGTACTGTAAATCTCATCACCTATAGTCCATCCTTCCCTAAATGTCACCAGGAGCCGCAGCAGCAGCAGCCTAGGGCGCGAGCCCAAAGGGAGGGGGGTGAGGCTCTTGTGAGGCGGCCCTTCACGCCGTGCTCGGAGTTCCCTCCTCGAGGGGGGGGGGGGGGGGAGGGAGAGGAGGGCGCTGTGTGCGTCTCGGCGCGCGCGCCTCCTTAAAAGACGGCAGGAAAGCGACTGAGCGCCCGGCTTCTTTCTCTCCTGCAGAAGCTGGCGGTGCGAGTGGGGAGCGCAGGAACCAGCAGCAGCAGCAGCAGCAGCAGCAGTGGTGGTGGCACCGGAGCAGCAGGAGAAGGAAGAGGAGGAAGCGGCCGAAGCGGCTCCAGTTCCCTTGGCCCGCCGAGCCTGGCCCTCTCGCTGCTGCCGGCCAAGGGTCCCGACGCCATGGTGACCGCCCACCTGCCCGGCGGCCGGGGCTGCAGCGCCGAGCCCCCGCAGAGCGCGCCCCTCAACCTGCAGGCCAAGCTGGGCTGCAGCAGCGCGCGCCGCGCCCCCGCCCTCGAGACAGGCGCCCGGCCCCAGGTGAGCGCGCGCGCGAGGCGGACGGACGGAGGGAGGGAGGAAAGGAAGAGGGGCTGCACGGGACAGGAGCCCTTTCCCGCCTTCAGTGCTTAACCCTCTCAGGTGCACTTGGAGGTCGCCTACATCTCACAGCTGGAGGCACCACCTGCCTCTTGAGCCTTAGCTTCGTGTGCTTTGGAATGTGTGGGGAAGCTCTAGGACTTTGGTTTCTCTGAACATGTTTGGGATCTTTGGGTTGTTATAGGTTTTTCAGGCTGTATGGCCATGTTCTAGAAGCATTCTCTCCTGACGTTTCTCCTGCATCTGTGGCAAGCATCCTCAAAGGTTGTGAGGTTTGTTGGAAACTAAGAAAATTGGGTTTATATATCCCAATTTCCCTAGTTTCTCTCCAGCTGCCTCCCATTTCAACTCCAAGCCCTACTTCCCCATTCGCTGTCTTAACCTGAGTAACGGGGGTCCTTCCAGACAGGCCCTATATCCCAGGATATATAGACTATGTCTAACAGAGTATTTTGTACTGAGTGGAAGAGAGGGGGGATTGTTTGGTAATATAAGATCAAGAAGAATGTAAACTTTGAGTATTGGTTCATATATATTTTAAATAGTGTGGTTATACCCCACATATATTGGACAGTAGAAAGCTTGTGTAGTGTGAAAAAGAGGATGAATGAAAAAGATAAATAATAGATCAAGTATATATAATACTATCGGAGCCCCCAGTGGCGCAGTGGGTTAAAGCGCTGAACTGCTGAGCTTGTTGACCGAAAGGTCGCAGGTTCGATTCCGGGGAGCGGCATGAGCTTCCGCTGTCAGCCCCAGCTTCTGCCAACCTAGCAGTTCGAAAACATGCAAATGTGAGTAGATCAATAGGTACCGCTCCAGCGGGAAGGTAATGGCACTCCATGCAGTCATGCCGGCCACATGACCTTGGAGGTGTCTCTGGACAACGCCCGCTCTTCGGCTTAGAAATGGAGATGAGCACTAACCCCCAGAGTTGGACACGACTGGACTTAATGTCAGGGGACAACCTTTACCTTTTATATATAATACTAGCTGTACCCGCCAAAGGTTGCTGTGGCCAACCTTCTCTCTCTCTTTCTCTCCTCCTTTCTTTCTCTCCTTCCTTCCCTTTTTTAATTCCCTCTATCCTTCCTTCTCCTCCTCTTCCCTGCCTTCTCTCCCCTTTCTTTCCCTTCCTCTTTTTCTCCTTTCTTCCTTCTCTCTCTATTCTTGGAGCTCTCAGCAGTCCTCTTGATCTATCTATCTATCTATCTATCTATCTATCTATCTATCTATCTATCAAGATCTACCTATCTCTATCTAAACTATATCTGGAGGATTGCTGGGAGTTGCAGTCCAGGAATAGGAAATTGGAAATTTGCAGGGATTGGGATGCTCTCAAAGAAATCCAAGGAGGAGGAAGCTTGCAGATTGGAATCAGTGCGTTTGGATCACCCTCCTCTCCTAAAGGGCCTGGTCTAGGGGAAGCTGGGAGCAGTAGTCTGGAAGAGAGTATGGATATGCTATTGTGTGTTTGCCGGGGGAGTCATTTTTGCACATGCGCTGTAGTGTCTTTTTGCTTTTTGCTTTTTAGTCCCTTTCACTGTTTTTTCAGATCGTCACTCATTGGCTTGATAGATATATTGTACTCAAATTTGGTGTCAATTTGTCCAGTGGTTTTTGAGTTATGTCAATCCCACAAACTAACATTACATTTTTATTTATATAGATAAGTATATATAGTACTAAATTACTAACAAATAGGTTTAAGTAATAGTTTTCAAATACAGTTTCACAATAAAATAAAAAAACCAAATAGAAACAACCAAGGAGAAGCAAAAATAAAAAAGGAAAGAAGATAATCAAAGAACCAACTCCTATTTTGTTTGTGTTCTAGCTGGAAATAAAAAAAGTGGTTGCACCCATAAGCATGTGCAGAGTGCCTTGTGTTTCAGAGATAGTGATGGCAAACTGGAATACAAGCTAGTGTTTTGTGTGTAGTCAAGAGAACAGGTCTGAGCAACCATTCCTGGAGTTTTCCCCCCAAAAAGGTATCAAATCTTCAAACATTGGAAAACGAGTTATAGGTTGCACCCCATTATTGTCTGGGAGTAGGATATCATGTACAGATCAGAACTACCCAAATGTATCAGATTCACTTTGGTACAGAGCTTGGAAAACTGCATTTCAGAGCAAAAGAAGGTATATCACTCAGCACATTTTTTATTTCTGTTATATTTGTTCAGATGGATTTGATGCCTTTTGGAAACAAGCTCCACATTTGGGGAAAGCGCTCAGGGTAGAGTTTTGCAGTAGATTTTGTTATTTTGCTCTCCTGAGTGCTGAAATGGAGATGTGGTAAAACAGATATGTTTTGGCATGGGATGTGTTGAAGATGAAGGGACCAAGGTAGGAAAGTGAAGTAAGAGAGGCAGGGGACGATGTGTCTCCATGTGTCTTCCATTGCAGTGTGTTAAGGTAGAAGGAAAGGAAGATGCAGGGGAGAGATGTTAAGGAGCATAATGATGGTATCTTGTTTTTAACCTTTTTGAATTAAAAAATCATTACATTTTTAGATAAGGGGTTTCAAGATAAGATCCTGGCAGACTTGGCATTAGCTACCTAATCTTGTGTTATCCTCATTCTTCAGGGAATCTGAAGAATTGGGTACAAACATCCAACCCCCAAGTATCTCAAAACGGCAATGAGGTTTCTCTACATGAAGATAGAGTTCCAAGTGCCCAAGCAATGCTTGTTGAGTTCTCATAAGGAACCGGGAGTATTTTTACAGTTGTCTGGGAGGCAGAGCAGGAGGCTTTTTCCACTGTCTCGTGTACTTATCTCTCCCCACATCATTCAAAAGCAGTGTAAACTGGGGGAAATAAATTAAGCAACATATTGATCAGCATTATTTATTTATTTATTATTTCTGGTATTCTACCCTGTCTATTCTCTACCCTCGAAGGGGGACTCACTTGCAGAAGCGCATTAAGACTGTCTCCTAACTTTGATATACAGGGTTAGTCAAAATGAATAGGCCAATAAGAAAATTAATTTTAGACAAATGTATGTTTACTGTAACCAAACCACAGCTACGTAGCGACAGATAAACTATCAAAGTTTTGTCTCACCTTCAGAGATGTTCGATATGGGCGCCCCGTGTGACACGGCAGATGTCCAAGCGATAGTCCAGTTCATTCCACATCCGTTGCAGCACATCCGACGTAATGGCATCGAATGCAGCAACGTCTGGGAAGGTGTTCGTTGAGGTCCTAACCCTAACCCTAACCCTAACCCTAACCCTAACCCTATCCCTAACCCTAACCCTAACCCTATCCCTAACCCTAACCCTAACCCTAACCCTAACCCTAACCCTATCCCTAACCCTAACCCTAACCCTATCCCTAACCCTACCCTAACCCTAACCCTAACCCTTGAAATTCTCGCTGGACCGTAATTACTGACATTGTTTTAGCAAATGTCATCACACAAAACGCCTTCTCTTTGCTTGATTCCGCCATTTTGAAAACAGCGACCCCTAGCGACGCCTAGCGGCATTAACGTACATGTGTGTTGCTCAAAAAAACTTTGATAGTTTATCTGTCGCTACGTAGCTGTGGTTTGGTTACAGTAAACATACATTCGTCTAAAATTAATTTTCTTATTGGCCTATTCATTTTGACTAACCCTGTACAACAACCATTGAAATACATAAGCATTAATTACAAAAGTAGGAGCCCCCCAGTGGTGCAGTGGGTTAAACCCCGGCAGGACTGAAGACCAACAGGTTGCAGGTTCGAATCCGGGGAGAGGCGGATGAGCTCCCTCTATCAGCTCCAGCTCCTCATGCGGGGTCATGAGAGAAGCCTCCCACAAGGATGATAAAAACATCAAATCATCCTGGCGTCCCCTGGGCAATGTCCTTGCAGACGGCCAATTCTCTCACACCAGAAGTGACTTGCAGTTTCTCAGGTTGCTCCTGACATGACAAAAAAAAATTACAAAAGTACATAAAACATTAATTAAAACAATAATACAATATCATCAGCTGTATCATCATTCCATTCAGTTTCCAACCAAAGTGCTAATTAAGTCTGCTGTCCGAAAGCCTGGTCCCACAACCACAATTTCACTTTCTTCCTGAAAGCCAGGAGGGATGAGGCCGATCTTATCTCATTTGGGAGTGCGTTCCACAAGCGGGGGCCACAGCCGAGAAGGCCCTGTCTCTCGTCCCCACCAAAAGCATTTGCGATGTTGGCAGGAGCAAGAGCAGGGCCTCTCCAGATGATCTTAAATTATGAGGTGGAACGTAGAGGCCGATGCATTTGGACAGGTAAGCTGGGTCAGAACCGTATAGACCTTTATAGGTCAAAACCAGCACTATTTATACAAGTTGGAGAACGGAAATCATTTTTGTATCATATCTGTGTTTATGTCTCTTAGTGTTCTTTTTTCATAAGATAACAGCCACTGGGGATGCATCTACACTGTAGAATTAATGCAGTTTGACACCACTTTAACATGGCTCAATGTTGTGGAAATATGGGAGTTGTAGTTTTACAAAGTATTTAGTCTTCTCTGCCAAAGAGTGCTGGTGCTTCACCAAACTACAAATCTTAGGATTCTATGGCAGTTAAGGTGGCGTCAAACTATATCAGTTCTGCAGTGTAGTAGAATCAGCCTTGGATGAAACTGTTTGGTTTACCATTTTTGTTTACTCTCTAGTTCCTGTCTGTTTATATATCTGAAAAGTGAATATGTGTAGTTCAAATCAAGTTATATTCTACAAGGCGCATAGGGATATTGGTGAAAATAAATTTAGTTGTGCAAAAATCCATTTGAACATCTGGCTAGCTCTGTTGTTTTTTTGTGGTCTTGTTTAAAATAACAGGCTCTACTGTTGATAATAGCTAGGCTCTAATAGTCTATTTTTAATTAGGCAATATAATTAATGTTTGTGGTTCAGTGTAAACCTAAAGGCAATTATCAAGTTTTCTTAC